AAATTGTCGATCACGCTAGATAACTATGTTCAGCATAATTGCAGCATTTGGATGTTGAACAAACACAACTGTGCCTGAGCAAGCGTCTGCAATAAGGATTGGCTAGTCGCCCTAGTAGGTGGGTATACTCGAATCTGAGTGGCCAGCTCTACATTTGACTCTTGCTCAAACCAAAGCTTTTTTTTTTTTACTATAGTGTAAAAATGTTATTACTATTATTAAAACAGAGACATTGTTGTAGTAGTTAGATTGATAGCATTAGACCCGCTATTTATTACTATTACTATTTGTACTATTCAAGTGAAGAGAGGAAAGGACAGAGACTGTGTTGTAGTAGTTTAGTTGATAGCATAAGACCTGCCTCTTATTATCATTACTATTGTTATTATTCAAGTCAAAAGTAAATAGGACCACAGAGGCAGTGCTGTACTCATTTTTTCAACAATTATTGCTGAAAATCCAAATGCCGTTTCTTTCCACTAATTCTCGTTTCTCTTCTCAATTCCTTTAGCTTTGATCAAAGACATTTCATGGATATTTAAAAGTCGATCAATATCTTGCATGGTAGATACGGTAGGTGATTACGATCAGAAATGATTATTTCATCATTACAAATAATTTTGTCATTCTCCAACTCAGTTTCTTTGTTCTGAGAAATAATTTAAAAAAAAAAAATAAGTTGAACAAAAATTAAACACAGATAACTGTAGCTTGAAAGGCTTCATGTTGGCCACATTGCTTACCACAATTAGTGGAAGAGAAATGTCCATTGCAATGAAAGAAATGTGCTATTATTTTTCTTCTTCTATGTGCCATGTTAGCAATCATGGCTCTCCAAAATTCACTGTTCTTTGTAGCTATAGTACATTTTGTCTTTTTACTATCTCTCGTAAAATCTGTTCTGCCATCCATGTACACAACATTACTAGGTTATGCACTATTTTTCTCTGTCCCCTCTAGCGTTCAATAGCACAGCATGAGTCAGGTACTTATTGGAGTGGTACAGGGAACAACTATTTTTTGGTCGTTGTACTTTCCGGCTTTCATCTTTGGTATTTTTATTACATGATCGTCTTCTGTGTGAATTTCTGAGATGAAGAATTATCATTATTTACACTATTTACATTCAGATTATTGTTCTCATTTTTGTTGTTGTCATTACAACGTTTCGGCCGTTGGGCTCTCCGGCCGCCATCTTTGGTGTTTTTATTATCTGACCCGCTTCTGTCTGAATTTCTGGGATGAGGAATTAACATTATTTACATTTGGATTATTGTCCTCATCTTTGTTGTTGTTATCACGTTTCAGCCATTGTGCTCTCCAGCCTTCATCTTTGGTGTTTTTATCACATGATCGCCTTCTGTTTGACTTTATGAGATGAGGAGTTTTCATTATTCAAACACAATTTACATTCGGATTATTATCCTCATCTTTGTTGCTGTTATCACAAAGTTTCACCCATTGTGATCTCTGGCCTTCAATTTTGATGTTTTAATCACCTGATCGTCTTCTGTTTGAATTTCTGAGATGAGGAATTATTATTATTTACAATATTTACTTTCGGATTTTTGTCCTCTTGGAATCAACCATTTTTCAAGCATCTGTAGCAATGTATTGTATGTATGAGTTCCAGTTGGGGTCTGTGAATAAATCTGAATAGGTGCTGATTCTTCTCAGTGATGATGGAACCTCACTAGTCTGTTGATAAATATTTTTTGACGGGGAGGAGCAATTATTCTTTCTTGGAGAAAAATCCACCCAGGGCTCCCTTATTCTAACCTCCCATTTTTTTAAATATCCAAATAAAATTACTTGTATTATTTACATTACTTGAACTGTTATCCTCATCTTCATTGCCATATTCACAATGTTTCGGCCATTGTACTGTCTGGCCTTCTTCAGGTGATTGGAATTTCAAACCAAACCCTCTAGTCACTGGATCTAACCAATGTCTTTATCCACTGGGCCATGTGTCCTTGAGGACAGCTGTGTATGTATTTCTGGGACTTATAAACATAATAACTCAGCAACTATATTTTATGTGTGCTCCTATTGCAATTTTTTGTCATTATAATCATAATACCTCATCTCAGAGATATAGACAGATATCGAAATAAAATATTTTGTCTTAGAGTATAAATTAATGTGTGGAAAGAAATTTCCTGAATATTAATAAAAAGGTTTGGTTATATTATGGGTGAGTTAGAAGATTGTTTTTCTCTAAAAAATAATAAGCCTTCCAGCTTGTCTATTTGAAACTCAAATGTACATGTTTCAACATGTATTCACTAAGGTATGAAGTCTGCTCAATTGTGCTTAGACTAAGTTCACTGTATAACAGACTTGAGTATTTGAGATTTTGCCAACTGAAATACATAGTGTAACAGGAGAGAGGTAGTCAAGAAAGGTTTATTCTCCCATTTGTATTTCCCTCATTATGGGTATTATCATATCCATGATATAATAGAGTTTGGTATATTTCAGCATAGCCCATTTGACATGGCTAATTCAGCATCAGAAAAATAATTGGACTATTCGATACAGCTGTTTTAGCATCAGGCTGTTTCGACGTCACTACCTTTGACTAGAGGCACCTCCGCCCAAAAAAGGATAAAAGCATTGAAAACATCCAACTTTCAATATGACTTTTTATTCATTAAGGGAATTAAGGATCCTACTAATGGAATAATGTAAATTAAAAACTTAAATTAGAAATACTGTATTTAAAAAAATTTTAAAATTTAGTAAGGCTATTTAATATTAGAAATTATTTCTTCATTTCATAATTATGAGCAACACCTTTCAGGAACTCAATAGGATCTAATGATTCAACTTCCATCATGACTTTTTTTATTCATTTGTCAGCATTTCTATATTTTTTAGCTTTTGGTGGGGTGGATATCTAGAAATCAACTCTTCAAGAAATTGCATCACATCCTTTCTGAATTTTACGTAAGGCATCAATAAATTTCCAGATTGAAGGATGATGCATTTCTAACTCATATTGCAAATTTCGATTGGCAGTTACTCCTTTTCTTAAATATAAAAATGCTTCCAAATACTCATTTTCTTAACTTGAACTATTTGATCATATAACGACGAAGTAATAATTTGACTACTAAACAAGAGAGAGAGAGAGAAAGAGAGAGAGAGAACAAATTTGACTATAATGACGAAGTAGTAATCTGATGCCTAATCATCCCTGTGCCAAAAAAATTCCTATGTTGAATTGGCAATGCCAAATGGGCTATGCTGGAAATCCCATTCCCAATATAATAACACCATATTTCATGGATGGAATGGAATGGCTGAAAGCAAAAAGGATGACAAAGATGCTTTTTTTTCTCAAAGACTTTTATACCACTAAGACATACACAAAACCGTATATACATATATACACGTGTCTCATGTGGAGAACCATACATCATATATCTACAGAGCAAGCAAAGTGTGAGGAGAAACAAAAAGGAAGGGTCTTACATAATTTTGAGATGCATCTGTGATTTCTGGAGAAATCATGTTTAAGATTTTAGATACAAACATCTACTATGTTCCTTTCGATGACATATTCCATAAAGCAGAAACTGGCTTTTCTCAAATTGGACTGTCTTTCTATATTTAAGAAAGATATATTCCCAAAGGGAAATGTCACCATGGATTTGTAAGCTGCTGGGGAAACAGATTTAGCCTTTGCTTGCACCCAGGATAAAGAAAGCAACTTCTCTGTTTGGCTGCTGCAAACAAACTGAAATTGACAGCCACTTTCATCACTGTATGGATTGATGTCACTAAGATGTCTGTCATGTGACCTATGTGATGTATCTCCACCAAAGGGAGATAATCGCCTTCTGTATCCCTACAATAGTAACAGATGATTGCAGAACACAGATGTAAAGGTTTGTTGGAATAAAAAAGATGCTTTTGTGAAAATAAGTAAAGTATTAAAACATAGGAAAATCTAGTTGGAAATAAGGAAAAGAGTGATGAACTGCTGTCATATCTCTACTTCTGTATAGCAGTGAATGCTGGACAATTTCCTTACAGAGACTCAAGGCAACGTGATTCTACAGACAGATGCAGTGAATAACATGAACAAATCATATGAGCAACAAGGAAGTTCTAAAGTGAATGTGAAATAGAAAGGCACTCAGGCTTAAAATCAGAAGTCAGTCAGTTGAAATTTTTTTGATTTATTATGATGAAGGATGGTTTGGAAAATTTAATACTCACAAGGCGTCGTGAAAAAGAAGGAAAAAGTAAATAAATTGTGTGAATTTATGGTAGAGCAAATACAGGGAGTGGTGGTAAAAAGTTAAACATTGCTGAAACCTACAAAGAACAGGAAGTTGTGGAGAGCTATGATTGCCTACAACCTGAAAGAACACAGCACATAAATGAAGAATGAGTTACAATGAAATCATTCAAAGTTTTTCCAAAGAAAATGTTTCAAACCCGAATTTTTTTTTGGATCATAACCACACAAGGTTAACAAGCAATAAATAAGACAAATGGTAAAAAGTTTTAAAATACGCAGTTGTTGTATGGAAATAATTTTACTTCATTTTGATATTAATTTCATTATTCTGTCTGGTCTAAAACTTGTTTTATAGGATTGCAGACATTATTTATTAATCAACACTAGTAATATTGAAGAGAAATAAATCAACTGCTCTTATGTAGATTTCGGTTTTGTGAGAAAATTTATTTTTCTGATGATACCAGATCATTGGTAAAACATGTCAAAGTAGAAATTCTCCCGATTGTTTTAAATATTTACTTTTCCTTCAAATTCTCATTCAACTTTACTTGAGCACACACACACACACTCATACATAGGGAGGGAGAAGCAAAGTGAAAGAGAAGGAAAGAGAAAGAATGATAGAGAGGCTGAGTGATAAAATTAGAAAGAAAGTGAGAAAAGGAAGCACAAGGTAGCAAGATGGTTATTACCAAGAAAAAATGGATTTAGGAGAAGTTAATAAAAGAGTGAGAGAATGAGATTAAAGAGAGAAAATGGGGAGAGAGAGAATGAGATTAAGGAGAGAAAAGGAGAGGGAGAATGAGATTAAAGAGAGAAAGAGAAGAGAGAGAAAATGAAATGAAAGAGAGAAAATGAGATGAAAGAAATGAAAGGAGAGAAAAAATGAAAGAGAGAAAAAATGAGAGAGAATGAAGAAAGAAAAAAAAGAAAGAATGAGATGAAAGAGAGAAAAAGAGAGAGAAAATGAGATTAAAGAGAGAAAAAGAAGAGAGAGAGAATGAAATGAAAGAGAGAAAAAGAAGAGAGGGAGAATGAGATAAAAGAGAGAATGAGATGTGAGAGAGAAAAAGAGAGAGAGAATGAGATAAAAGAGAGAAAAAGAGAGAATAAGATGAAAGAGAGAAAGAAAGAATGAGATTAAAGAGTGAAAAAGGAGAGGAAGAGAGGGAATGAAATGAAAGAGAGAAAAAGAAGATAGGGAGAATGAGATGAAAGAGAGAAAAGTGAGAGTGAATGAGATGAAAGAAATAAAAAGAGGGGGAGAATGAGATGAAAGAGAGAAAAAGAGAAAGAGAATGAGATTAAAGAGAGAAAAAGAGAGAGAGAGAATGAGATGAAAGAGAGAAAAGTAGAAGCTAATAAAAGAGAGTGCTATGAAATGTAATTTTCTTCATATTTTCACAGTCTGGCGGTAGTCGTTAGCCTTGCATCTTTTATTCAATATCTTCTTCCTGCCCCATACAGGCAGGATGAGACACAAGGTTACTTTAATGCAACAAGCCTGGGCATGTACACTCGAGCTGGGTCTAAAAATATCCCTGCCCCCACAACCATCAGTTGCACTGACATTGATATTACTACAGAGCCCACAGGGAAGTGCAATGGGGGAGGTACTGTCATGGACATCTTTTCACTGGGACTGGGCACCACTCAAATTTTTTGGTTACATTTTGCCTGAAGACAAAGACATAACTGAAAGATGATAAACAAGATACGACAAACAGAATCTTGCAAGTCTGACTTGCAAGATTCACATATCATATTCTGAAGGAGGGAGAGGGACACACCTTAAGGTTTGGGCACTTATATTGTCTCTATACCTTAACTATGCTAATCAGGCAGCCATTTATATATCACTACAGAGAGAAAAAAAGAAAGAGCCAATGAGAAGAAAGATGGACAATGTAGAAACTAATAAAATAGAGACAGAATGGATGAAAGAGAGAAAGAGACAGAGAGTGGCTGAGATGAAAGAGAGAAAACGTTAAGAAAAGAGGGACCAAAGAAAAAGAAAGAGAAAAGATAGAGAGAGGATAAGATAAAGGAAGAAAAAGTAGGGAGAAAGAATGAGATAAAATAGAGAAAGAGAGAGAGAATGAGATGAAAGATAAAAAAAGAGAGAGAAAGAGAAAAAAGAGTGAGAAAGAGAAAAAAAAGAGAGAAAGAGATGAAAGAGAGAAAAACAGAGAGAATGAGATGAGAGAGAAAAAGAGGGAGAATGAGATGAAAGTGAGAAAACGTAGGGAGAAAGAAAGAGAGAGAAAATGAAATGAAAGAGAGAAAAAGAAGAGAGGGAGAATGAGATTAAAGAGAGAATGAGATGAGAGAGAGAAAAAGAAGAGAGGGAGAATGAGATTAAAGAGAGAAAAAGGGAGAATGCGATGAAAGAGAAAAAAGAGAATGAGATGAAAGAGAGAAAAAGAGAGAATGAGATCAAAGAAAAAAAAGAGAGAAAAAATTTAAAAAATAAGAAGCTATTAAAAGAGAGTGTTGTGAAATGAGATTTTCTTCATATTTTCTCAATCCAGCTGTAGTCATTAATCTTACGTATCATATTCTGCCCCTCCCCTAACTGCTTGGGCACTTATATAGTCTTATAAGAAAAAACATATACATGACTCTTTTCATGCTTCATCATCCCTTTGTTCTGTTTTATTTCTTTTTAATCACTCCATTTTAAGCCAGTCAAACCTATAAGGCCTATCGGATGCTGATGGTGACTAAATATTTCTTATCCAGCATCGCAACTAAAAGATCGGCACAACATGATCTTCCTCCTCTAGGCTCCTTTCATTCAGTGCCAGATTAAGCTCCCGCTACTTAAGTTCGAATTCCAGTTGGATTTGTTAAATTGACACAAATAACCTTGGGAAAGGTATAAATCCAACTCTTCTCCATCCCCAGTTATGGGTTAAATAGCAGGACAGTCCTATAGCCTTGGTTGGCAACCAGTCTGCCACAGAAAGAAACAGAAACCTACTGTAAGGAAATCTTCTGCCTAGTCAGTCATGAATCAAAAGAGACATGATCATTCAAGAATGTATCACATATGGCACTTAACTGAAAGAGTCAATAGTTATTTAGGGGTGGGGAGTTGTGGAGAGACATGATCCCTCAAGTGTGTATCATGTTGACACTTAATGGCTTAACTGACTAATATAACATTGTTTATGTAAAATAAAAGAGAATAAGTGCTAGAGAAATGCGATAATAACAACAGAAATTGCAATATGAGCTCTGGTAAAAATTATACAATGATAACAGCAAAAGTTGCAATATGAGAACTGGTAAAATAGGGTTGCTGAAGACATTACGTTTATAATACCCAGAAATTCATACACAGATGTCCTCAAGGTCACATGGCACAGTTGATAAGGGTGTTAGATCCAGTGACAGGACCCAAAGAGTGTGAGTTCAATACCTGGTTATGGTAATGGAGAACTTGGAGAGGGGAATTAACAAGGAGATAACTGATAACTGACATCAATTAAAACATGGCACTGAGCAAAATAAAGGGTTCAGTTCAACATTCTAACCACCTGAAGAAGGCAACAAAGATGAGGATAATAGTATGAAAAAAGAATAATAAATGCTTAAGTATTCTGCTTTTACATAGCATAGCCTCTTCAGGATGTAGGCAATCATAGCTTTCCAATTTCCTCTCTTCTTTAGTTTTTGAATAAATTTTGTCTTTTTGTTATCTCTCATAAGCCTTGATTTGTCATCCATTTACTCAAATTCACTAAGTATTTTATACATTGTTTTCCTCTCTCCTGCCTGCCTTCAATCCATCCTGTGAGTATCAGATTTTCCAAACCCTCTTTCCCATTATGTGTCCAAGAAATTTCAATTATCTCTTTCTGATGTTAAGTTTCTTTTTCATTTTTGTTTTCTTTTAAACTCAGTCATTGTTCACATATTCAGTCCATGGTATTCTTAGCATCCTTCTGTAGAACCACATTTCTGTTGACATTCACTGCCATATAGGAGGACTGATTATACAACAGTTCAGTACTCTTTTCTTTGTTTCTAATCAAATTTTCCTGTTTCTTAATACTTTGCTTAGCTTCTGGAAGGCAACTTTCATTATCCTTATGTGCCTTCAGATTTCAGTATCGCCTCTTTCTGTCCTCTATTAAAACACTTCTCAGGAAAAGAAAGAAGATCACCTAAATAAAAAACAACCAAATATATCTTGAAAATATGTTGTGTTTCACAATATACACAATATATTTGATAGGGTCAACTGATGTTTACAAGTCCTGTGAAAAAATAAAAAAGAAGGATGTAGCAGTGGTATTTCATTGGCCCATGAAGTGACAAATCAGCAGTTAGCCAAAAGGTGAGACGTCCTGGTAAAAAAACAAATTTTTCCCTCAAAAATTTTTCAGTGAGAATTTTTACCTTGGAGGAATGTGAGCCTGCTAATACTAGGATCACTTCACTCTCTCCATCACTAACAAGTAGTCAGAAAACTTTTCATAATGAGGACAATAAATGTAACCAATACATACCATATATGTTGCACTATTTAATACTACAAAAACTTCCAGTAAGTAACAGAGATAGTACAACTTTAGTGCATTGGCCTGAGGACAGCTGTGGAGACTAGACAATTGATATGACCCACTACAGAACAATGACTGGAGTCACCCAAACACAAGCTCAAGATGCATACTTAATCACATATGATGTTAGGACTATGTCACACTAAATATATTTCAAAGACACCTTAGTGGTTGAGACAACCACCAATCCCAAAGTTTGGTGTTCAAACCCAAATAAAAAGTAGTGTTTTGAATGCTGATTTTCAAGGCAGGCTAGTAGGCATTCTTTACTTGGAAGACAATTTTCCTTCTCTCTTGTTGACCTTTTTACTGTACTAAGCTGGGTAATTATCTGGATTCGGAAAACTGTTAACATTATCAATTGTATATTTAAAGCCATGATATGAGATTAACAAATTAATGTAAAAAAAAAACATTCACTTATTTTGCCAAAATTTATATTTTTCTTCTTTTTTTCTTTCTTTCTTTTTTGTTTTGTAGCAGAGACGATTGGATATCCCCAGGCTTCAGGCTTTACCTTAGCAGGTGTTTCTTTTGGCCCCCATTTTTCTGTTATCTGTTGCTTCATTTATGGTTATCTTTTTTGGAAATTTCTCCCACCCTCATGCAGAACCTACCCCTTCCCACCCATTACCCTTGTCTACTTTTGTTCCCAACCTTTTGTTTTTTTGTGCAATGTAACTTTTTCTGTTGTTTGTTTGAGTTTTTTTTTTGTTATTTTTATTTTTTATCATGCTTCATGGGATTAATATAAATACCAGATGCTTGGGAAAAGGTCTTGTTACTGTCATGCCACAAATGTTGATGGAGAAGAATGCAAAGTCAGGGATTCTTTCTTGCTACTAAAATTGTGTAGCTTACTGTATTTGATGGCATAAAGACCCAATTTATTTACATTTAATATTACAAAGTTATAGAGTGAGTTAGGTACAAGTACTAGGAAACATTAGCCTACGGAATGCATCATTTTCACATATAAGACCCCAGAAGATATTTTTGAAGACATTTTTCTGAAAAAATAAAATAAAACTAATAAATTGTTTTTAGATTAACTTAAATAAAAATAAATAAAATAAAAAATGCAATAAAGTAAAATAATTAAAATAAAATGAAATAAAAACTTTTTCATTGGTTATAACTAATTTTACAGCATTATGGCTAGGTACAAATAGTGGTAGTCTGGTACCTGGGGTAACATAAACTTACCAGCTACATAAACTTTGAAAATTAACTAGGAAATATACTTGAAGTCATTTTTCTAAATAAATAAAATTAAAATAAATAAGTATAAATAAAATAAAATAAATAAAATTAAAAATTATTTACTTATTTAAAATAGAAATAAAATAAAAGAAAATAAATAGAATAAAACAAATTAAATAAAAAATAAAATAAAATAAAATGCATAAAAAATAATAATAAAAAAATACATAAAAAAATAAAATGAAATACATAACATAAAATAAAGCAAATAAAATAAATGAAAATAAAAGTTTTTTTTTTTGGTTGGGGTTGATGCCATCAAATATGATAGTTATATTTGCTTTTTATTGGAAAGGAGATGGGCGCCTGCAAGTCATATGACTTATCCTCGAGATTCATCAAGGCAACCTATCATCTTCTGAATCATGGAACCAAATACAATAAGATTAATTTTAAGTTACTTTACTTGGAATATTTATCACCTAATCACCTTCTGTTTGAATTTCTGGGATGAGGAGTTATCATTATTTACGTCATTTACATGCAGACTTTATGAGAACATGACAGAGTGAGTTAGAACATTCGCTTTCTGACCATGAGACCCACGTTTCAATCTCACGATAATTGATGTGTCAGGAACGTGACTTCTTGATCTTACCAGTCTGGGGGAGTCAATCCAAGCATGCATCACCTTTGGAAAGTGCCTGAAAAACCACACCACAGGTTGACCCAAGCCTTGTGAGCGAAATTGGGTAGGCGGAACCCTTTGGGAGTTGTCGATGTTTGTGCTAGTCACAAGTCATCATGAGGATTTGAGCATGCTGGTCTTGTTCAAATTGTTGATCATGCTAGATAACACACTCTCTCCCAGAAACTGTAACTAATGTCCGCTCAGAATAGTTGCAGTATAAACCACAGGTGAGCTCTGTGGGTATTGAATAAATGCAAATGTGCCTGAGCAGGCACCTGAAAAAGGGACTGGCTAGTCACCCTAGTAGACAGGCATTTTTTGGATACAATTTTGGCCATTGTACTCTCTGGACTTCATCAGGTGTTTGTTGATTCAGGTAACCTACATTGAATTTTGAAGAGTTCAAAAATTCCTTGTATGTTACCTAATGAAGCCTGAATGGCACAATGTCTAAAACATGATAAAATCAACAAAGATGAGGACAATAGTCTGTGCATAAA